CTCCCGGAATGAGTCAGGAGGGGCCGCGCCGCCAGCCGGGCCCCCGCGCGCGCGGGAACCGCGCCAGGAGGAGCCGGCAGCCGTTAACGCTGCAAGCGGCCGCAGGGGCGCGGGGGACGGGTCACGCCTCAGGGTGACATGTGCAGCCCCCGCAAGGTCTGCCCTGGTGTTCAGCTGATTTGTAGAAAATACCGAATAGTAGCGCCTTCCTCAGGTATTTTCCTCTAGGAAATCATTCCCGTGTAATGTGCAGCAGCAGGGATATATTAAAGGAGCATGCTTTAATTAAAGGGTGGAATGACTCTGTTTCAGCAATCAGATACAGCAGCTTTCATGTTTAGGTGACTGGCTAGGCAGCCGAGAGGGCCCACACGGCGACACGCAGCTAGGGACTTGCCAAGGCCACGTCCGAGCAATTCCAGCTCCACTCCAAGCACTGGGAAAACTGTATCACAAAAAGCATCGCGGGGAAAGGAGGAGCAGTCACGTTTATAGCTGCTGGTATCTTAGCTGAGAGGAAGCTACAATATTCCCTCACCCTGGGTCAACGAAACCACATCACCCGACCTTGCACTGATTGATGTTTAGAAACTCCGAGATGCTATCTGGGCACGGCTCAACAGCACCCATCACAGCCTCCTCGCCGGCGTTTCCAGCCAATTCTACCAAAACACTGACAAATGCTTGGAGAGGCCATTTACTGGGATCATACTCCATCCCAGTTAGTAAAATGAGTGTTCTTAGGATCTTCCTAAACTTACAATAAGCACCAAGTCCAGCATGAAGGAAACCTTTCCCTCTACAGAGTCACCACAGAAACCCAGGGTTTATGGCTCATTTGAGAAATTTGCTCTGAAACTGCCTATGCTCAGAGCAAGGAGAAAGAAGAACACACTGCCCTTCATCCAGCACTTCCAAAAGCATCTTCCTATTTCCAAAGTATCTTCAAGGGGACTCCAAAGGGGAGATGGGTGCATCATGACCTGGAGCTTTCCCCAGATGAACTGGTTAAAAAAAGCTTACACAGAAGGTCCGTTTTTATTAAAGGGACAGCAAATACATACGTGCTCTTCACTAGCTCAGGTTCCAGGGTCTGGCACCGACACCAACCAAACAAAACCCAGCAATTGCCAGTAGCAGCCTAAATTCCTGTGAGCTTCCCGAAAGGACTGCGGGAATTTCAGAAATCGCCTAGTCAAACATGATGCCAGATGACCCAGGTAAGAGGCCTGCCTGAGCTTTATCATCTCAATCGAAGCCACACAATTTGATATAGCATCCATCATTTTACACCAGCGCAGCCAAAGAAAATTACGAAAAGAGTAAGCTGTCTCATGGAGGAAGAAGAAACAAAACCCTTTTCGGATTACTGAAAATTTGGAAGGAGCCGACTCCGGTCAGATAATGACTCATTCTATTGACATACATTCATCCCTCTGGAATTAGGAGTAACAGGGTCTAGAAATTTCAAATACAAAGAATCTTCTAAAACTTCCCCCCAGCACAACATACAGTAACTCTTAGCCTGAGGAAGAGGATATTACGCAGTCTCGCAGGAAAGTGCTTTGACCTTGTCGGAAAAGAAGCTGCAAACCGGGGCATTCCCAAAGCCCGCATAGGAACAGATCCGCTACAGTCAGTATTCCAGGAGGAGCATCCCTGGCATCATCATCACAAGTGCTCAGAACACTCGTGTTACTGGATCATGAATCACCACTGCATCAGAGAAGGCTCTGATCGTTATCCATCTCCAAGGGTGATGGAAAACCCTAGGAGACAGACTGGCACAGGATTGTACTCCAACACGCTCCAGCTAGTGCCTTCACAGAGCTCAACCTAAAGAGAAGGTACTTTTATTCATCCAGACCTAAGTTCGGCCATAGGGAACCCTTCCTCCCTGATGCACCAGGGCCAAGGCAGCAGAACCCTCCCTTGGGGATATTTAAACACCCGCATGGACACAATCCTGTGCCACGTGCTCCAGGTGACCCTGCTTGAGCAGGAGGTTGGACTAGGTGATTCCAGAGGCTCCTTCCAAGCTCAGCCATGCTGTGATACGAGGGCAGCGGCGATACTGCGTGAAGCACAGGCAGAAATGCCAAGTTCAATCAACCTGTTTAAGAGTCCTATAGAAGTTTGTGCAGGAATAACTTAAGGAAAGTTGGTTTTACTTGTAATGGAGGACAGCTGAAGGAAAGAAACCAAACCAAAGCCATGCCAGGACTTCTTTTCACAGCAATCCTAGACACACATGCAAACTCCTGGTAGGATTTTCAAAAGGACACAAATACTTACTGATTCTAACTGGCGTTTGTCACCTAACTGGTTTTTAACAGTCCTGTGCATTTTATCATGCTCCTACCTATGCTGTTAAGTATTTAATACCCATTAAAATCTGTCAGGAGAAAGGCTAATTTATGCAAATGGATTAAAACAACAATTTAAATGAGCTGTACACAGGTAGAAGTAACAATTAGAATAGTGCTCAACCCCAATAGAGAGAATATGCCATACAGTTCGGAGAAAGCAGAAAGAATGTTGTCAAAGTAAACAAGAAATATACAAAGAGAAAATCTGAAATGATTTTATTAATTTTATCATAACAGTAAATCTAAGACATTGACAGGAGGTCTGAACACTCAAGAGAACCATCTGGACTGACTGTTCAGTTCAAAATGCACTAATGTTTCAGCAGCAGCACTTCGGAGTTTGGAACAATCTGCTTTGAAACCATCCTTCTCACTGTCAAATTAATTAGTTTTCTATTGATATTCATGGTGTTCAAAAATTCCATATAATCTTCCCTCAGATTAACATCAAAAACCTGGTTTGGAGAAAAAGAGCAATAAAAAGACTGCAAAGACTAGAGCACATGCACACATGCTCAGTGTTACCACATTCTCTGAGAAAGTGCTTCCATATAATATTAATCAATTTATTACTAATGGAATGTACCATTATTTCTAAATGTTATTGTAACAAGTCTACAAGTCTGACTTGATTTTGAAGATGCGTATTTTCAAATCACTAAACAGAACATAAGGTAAAGTGGAAAGTTTTGCTGGAAATCACTGCTCCAAAGCCTTAAGCACCTTAACTAAAGCTAACCACGATGCATCATCTTTGCACAGAAGCTCCACATAGTGATGAATCTGTATTATCCAGCGTTACTAAAATTGCAAGAGAAAGCACTCCAAAAATACATTTTTTTTTATTCCAGTATAGAAGAAACCATAAAGTCCTGCTCTATGCTTTCTGCTAGGACAAAATAAAGCCACAAATGGACATGATCTCAACATGCTGCTCTGAAGGAAGAGCAGCCTTAGCAGTGGTAGCTCACACATCATGAGATAAAAAAGGGCACTTAATGTTTTATTAACATAAACATATATATATATATATATATATAAAATACTTCATGAACTAATCTTTCAGCACCCTTAAGCTGCACCCCAATCAAGTGATTTACCCTACATCCAGCCTGGCAACAACATTCTTTCTCCTTTAATGGGATGAATCCAGGTCACAGGGAACCATTAGGAAAGAATGAGTTCACAGAGCAAATAAAACAATCTCTGCTCTTCCTACTACCACATATCCATAACCCATCCCCACAAACATCCCCATACACACTTCTCAGCCAAATTAGGAATTTAACACCAGTTCGTTATTATGGAACTGGGAGGCCTTAGCTTGAAACTCTTGGAAATCTATTTTTCCGGGAGGGAAAAAAGAAAAAGAGGCAGCCTTTAATGGGGCGATGTCGATATCCTGCCACCACACTCCTCCTCACCGCGTCTCGCGGGGTAAACGGAACCATGCAGGTTACAGCACAGGGAAGCAGCGCCCGCCTCGCGGACCCAAACGCATCCCGGGCTTCGTGCTCCTCTGGAATGGCTCATTTTGGAGGCAGTTCAGCTTTGGCCCCTTGGACACTCGTAACTATTCTGTAAGAGCTGGCATTAGGTCTGGGTGATGCAGCAGAAGGACAAGTGCCGCCAAATGAAGGCTGCATCATTAATACTATACAGGCACAGGGCCGTGCAAAAGTGCAGATGCTTTAAGGGAGATTGCAATAAGTGCCAAAGATTAAGTACAAAAAATACTCCCAGCAGAGCAACAGAAAAACCTGCCAACCGGCTGGCCTGGCTTTTATTTCTCCCAACTCGCTCCCACCAAAGCTGGGTTGCTTGGAAGGGCAAAGTCAACTGCTTGGATGCGAGGAGGGGCAGCAAATCCAACTCTGAAGCCATCCCAGGCTTTTGAAAATGTGGGGTTAATGTCAACTCTCCTCTCAAACTGCTTCTGCAACAGCTCTTTTCAAAAGAAAATCAGCTGTTAACCACAGTGCAAGTAGGGCGGATACCCTTCAGCCTGGTTGACTTTGAGGGTTTGTAAACTTGACTGCTTTTATAGTTTCCGTACTACACATATTAGAGAGAAAAAAGATTTGTCTTCAAATTTACAGAAGGGGTGCAGATACTGCAGAAACTTTTACAGCCCGATAAACACATTCTGAATTATGCACTTCAGAAAACGATTGCCATTATTTCTCAGCTAAAGGCTTTTAAGTGCCTATATTGCCAGTAAAATAAAAGATGAAATTTATAAGAGGAGGAGAGAGGGAGCCACTCAGACAGGAAGCTCCTTGGCTGCACAGAAAGCGGCCTCACCCTTTCCACTGACTTTGTTTATTTTTTTCTTTTCCTTATTTGTATCAAAAGAGTTTCCATTCCCTGAACAATCACGGTGCTCCTGCAAAGAAAGCTGACTGCAATTAGGTGGATAATACTGATAAATCTCTATTTTAAATAAGATAAAGTTTATCTTAGCTAGAGTGGGCTGCCCTTCTAAGTCATGACCATAAATAACCTACATAACATGGTGGAAAAAGTGTGTTACATTTTTCAGCTGTAGTTGCTTGTCTTACTTTCAAGACAATGGTTATTGTGGGAAAATGGGTCTTTTGCTCTATCTCAACAAATGCCACTGCAGAAAGGTAGAAAAGATTCTCTTTAGAGGAAGCTTGTGTTACGCATGTAAGGACAGGAGGTTCAGCCTCAGGGAAGAACAAGCATGGGATCTTTCAAAAATTCACTTGAGAGATGAAATCCTGAATTAAAAACCAACACCTTGAGGGTAGTGATCAAAGAAGAAGTAAAAATGGAGTTAAACTTCCTTGTTTTGTATGTTCAGCACTTTTCTATGCCATTGGTCTTCTAGAAGTTCTTCTATTAGAGAACATTACTGTTCACTGTTCACTTTTCATTTGCTTATTGTCTTACATGTTAATATTATAATTCAATTTGTGCGTACTTTGGAAACTTCGGGTTAGAAGACATTCTGCAGCAGCCTTAGTTAAAAGAAAATGTTCCACAATTGTGACATCAGCTTAGCTGTAGAGAAGAGTATAAAATATGGATCCACAGAGTCGGCCTTTCCCTGGGCAACCTGAGCAAAAGCGGGTTTGCTCACGGCTTCCAAGCAAGCACAGGCCAAAGCTCCTCAAGCTGCAGTGGGGACAGGGACGAGCAGGGGAGACGTGCGGGGGCAGCTGCAGCTCCTGGCCACCAAGAGCGGCCGCGCCGGCCCTGCCAGCCCAGCCACAGCCCTGGCAAGGCTCCTGGGAGCTCCTGCCACACGTGGCTCTGCAGGCCTCAATCTGGTTAGCACAGTGGCTAACATTGCATAAATACTTGGACTCCAATGGTGCCTTTCCATACCTGTTCCTTAAATGGAATCATGCTTTGATAGAAATGTTATTATCTGATTATTCCCTTCCTGACTCTTGTCCTGCCTGGATATACGTAGATCTGATAACATGGTGTCTCCACTTCCTAGCGAAAGCAGCTGCAACACACATCCATAACATCTTTAATCGAGGGGGAAAATGAAATCAAACAGAGCTGCAAAGCCATCCTCACTGTAATCTGGGAAATCAGAATGAAAACCTAGTTTAGTTGTGTTCACCTGAAGAATTAGCTGATACTCAGAGGTATATTTGCATGCATCTCCCTAAGCCTAACATAATTTCTGGTAGATGTTGCAAAGCCCTAAAGACTTATGCTAATTTTATAAATATGTCTTCACTTTGGGAAATATTGACCCCTCATCACACCAGTTCAACCAGGTATTTTGCAACTTTTAGACACCTGAACTCGCATTCTCAGATCCTGAAGCGCCCCAAACTGCAGACCAGATTTGACAAGTTGGAAACTAATCTCTCCTGTGTCAATCTTAATCTAAGATTGCTTATCTTTTTGGGGACAGTACATTGTACAAGTGTTAATTAGTGAGGGCAGCATTTCAGAAAACATCTTGTATTTTTAAAATGATACCATGGTTCGAGACACAAACCTGGACAAGTTTTCTCTGAAATGTTTACGAATAACCACCAGCCAATTTTAATCGAGCTGTAGAGAAGCTCTGCTTTGAGGCCAAGCAACACAGGCTAGGATACATGATAGCTTTAAGTTGTTTCTTGATAAGAAACTAAGGAACTTTCTTCCATGATATGAATAAAACAGAACAGCACTGGGAAAGCTGTCTCAGGAAGTCCACACACAATATAAATCACAGTCAGATTTTCCAAGCCTTTCTAGACACACGAACTCCTGAAATATCAAACCAATGTGAGTAGAAGTCAAATACTCAGTGAATAAAAGACTCTGCAGGTACATTTTTAAAAAGAGTATCTATGAACTACGCATGTGAGTATTCGGGGGGGGGGGCGGTGTGTGCAAACAAGGTATAAAAATCTGAGGAACAATATATTTGTTAATGAGATCTCCTGGACAAAGTGAAAGCTACACTAACTAATTCTTACTAAAAGCTAAACAAAACTCACCAGAATTTAGAATAGGAGAAGAAGTCTAGCAATAATGAAGACTAATGCCTCTTCATCTGGCTCTTAAGAGCTTGCTGCTCAACTCCTAAGTCACACAGTTAGTTTGTTTGTATGTGCATTTCTCTGCTTTGTACTTTGACTAGGAGCTGGTAAATAATATGCATAAAGCTCTCTGGGGCAGCCAAACTACTATGCAAACACACCCATACAACTCCTTTATGATGCTCTTAAATACTGCTTATTTTTGTGGGATCACGTTCTGACTGAAGTTTAGGTAACAATGTGGTAACAGCATTACATATATTCTTCTCATCTGGCTTTTTCTTCTTTGTACATTGTAACCCCCTAAAAAAGTATGTTACAATTCATTTTGTTCTTAACATCTGTATTGTACACTAATGCTTTTTATCTTAAGAAGTGGTATCTCCTCATGACTCAATGCAAGGCCAATGATATCAATGTCAGGCTTTGCATGGGCTTCAGTGAACTACGGCTCAGGATTTTAGATAGAAATGCAAGATCTCTGTAGGAAGGTATTATCCCAACAACATCTTTTGTCCGTTATCAGCATTAAAGATTGCATATCAGTTATCATTAATACCCGCAATTAAGCTTACGATTACATTCTTCTGGCAGCCTTCTCCCAAGGCAAGGCACACGGGGTGACTCACGCGGCCCTGACAAAGGCAAAAGCTCCAACCTTGGTTCACTCGACGGGGCTGGGGTCCCAGGACACGCGTCTGCCATCGTGCAGGCTGTTTAGAATCCCAACGTCCTCCTCTGCTATCGTGAAATCGAACACCTAGGGAAACGCACGTACAGCCAGCATAGTACCGAGAGGCCTTATTAAACTCACCAAGATGCATTTAAAATTGAGGCATTCATTTAATTTTTTTCTCCTTTTTGGAAATTATTCAGATTTTTCTCTCTCATTGACAAATACCCTTCTGTGAAGTGGACAGGCTCCACTGCGACATTTGCTCCTTTGCGACTCTCTCACCTCTTCATTTGTAGGCTCGGGTAAATAATTTCATAGCTCTCTGCCCTCAGGCAGGGGTCCAAGACAGTGGTAGTATCAGAGTAGTTTTTGACAACACTCTATGGTCATTGGCAAAGGTGACCATGCAGATCCCCCCTGCTCGCAAACACGAGCTCAGTGTTTCTGCCTGACACTCAGATGGTCGGTTCTTTTCCTCAGAGCTTCTGCCAGTCACAGAATTGCTTGAAGCATCAGGATTTTCCTTTCCCAAAACTGGCAAGCAAAGGCTGTGCTGCTCTCTACCCTGTCTCTGCCTACTTAGGAAAAGCACTTCTGGATCAGCTGCTGCAGAAAGTGCCACAGCTCCTTGGTATCAATTCTACCTTGCAAGCAATCACCTTTCTCCATGCATAGGTCCTCAGGACCACCAAGTTCTCCTGCAATGCCAATGTTGGTGCCAGTGTTTTCTTAGCAGGTGTGTTATTCAGATATTATCACTTCAAAAGCAGGGTTGCTCTGAAGTCTCTGCAGCTTTTGTCAGAGCTCGTTCATATCCAACGAAAAATCCCGCGGAGCTGGAACGGCTGCCAGAGGAGCTCCTCCCATCCCGCCTCAGCCCGAGCTCGCTGCCTCTTGGCCCGCAGCCTCAGCACTCGGGCTTTTAAACCCAAACCACAGCCCAGCACTTGGATAGAGATACTATATAATATATAGTCAGGGCTCAGTGACGTCCATGCTTTGCCTAAAGCAGACCAGAAATGCTCCAGACTTAAGCCAAGCCTCTGGGGTAAGGGAAAAAGGAAAAATGAAAGGCAGAGGGGATAGCTGGTGTCAGGTAACTGTGCCAGCTTTTCTTCCAACCCAAGTGTTTCAGGTTTTGCTGAAATACAAACCCTCAGTTGTGCTGAACCAGTTAGTAGGGCCACACAGTAAACTTCATAAAGCACACATAATTAATCTGGTGCAAATTAATCAGGGGAAGGAGGGATTTTTCACCCAAATTAGTTCTCTGATGCAGTTCACAAACAGCTCTGCCCCACCACGGAAGGCAGTGTGGATGGCAGAATGAGCAGCCAGGGCAGGACCTATACAATAAGTATAGCCAGCAAAAGAAAACTTCTTTGTTTGTGTAAATCTGAACATGCACACAGATGTTAGCTGCAGGTAGGAAGATGCTTGCTTTCTTGCAGGCTTTGCTCCTGATGTGCAAAACAGTTCCTACCCCTAAAATATTTTTGGAGGAACCAACAAGGCAATATTCCCCAAGAGGACACTCCTTCAAGTCAGAGAAATGGAGAGAAGGAGGTATGAATTAAAGACATTGGGTGTAAAGTGAAGAAAAAAAAGGATCCTCCCATTTAATTCATGCGTGCCTATCACAAAAAGGAGCTCTCCATAACTAGAATGCATTGTTCTATCACCACCCAAGTAATAAATAAAAAGGTGATTTACAAAAATCAAAGTTGTCTTTGTGGATAACTTTCTTCCTACATAGTAATTAAAATCCCATTTGATTTCTGAGATTTGTGGATTATGGTATTATCCTACAGTAATTTGATGCTACTATAATTTGAGAATTTTAACTGACTTGGCTGATGTAAAACTAGAATAGGAAAACAGGCAGGCATTCCAAAGTATTAAAACAACAACAATTCGGATATTACTCAGATTTGAGTGCACAACCAAATCTTACCTTGCAGTTTTCCTGTATCCTTTCTGCTCTTGTGGATTTTGGAATCGTGACAATCCCGTTCTGAAAAACACCTCATCGTTAAAACATACATATAGTTTCAAGGAAAATAATCTCATTTTCAAAATATTTCCACACATTCTTTATGCCTTCTGAAGTTTTCATTTTCCTTTTAGATGTCACTGACCTTTCTCCATGCAACTTTTTGTAACTGCAGTTACATACACTGCGATTAATTCCAATACATGGTTTATGTCAACTCAAAACATTGTTTCACTGCTCATTGCTTTCTGCTGAGCTACAGAAAGGGAATCATACCCCTAGCCGATTGCGACACATGGTTGAAAAGTATCTTTTATCAGTGGTTCCATTTATCTCTCTCTGCAACCTTCACACATGTAAAACATGTCATGCTTTGTGTTCTTCCTTCCAAGTTTCCAATACAGCTCGTGGGCCATCTGCACATTAAATCGTTCCTGAATAAGTTTGGGGTCAATGTATAGAAACCAAGCTATTTACATTTTAGGAGTTAGGTTTTTACTGCCACCCTCCATTACCTGTATGCTCCAGCGTATGCAGATCTGTGCTGGACTTCTGCCATATTTCTTGGCCAGCTGGATAATGGTAGGATGAGTGAGGGCTTCACCTTTGGCTAAAGGGCAATAGCCTTCAAAAACAATATTTTTGTTCCTACAATAATCCACCAACTCCTGAGGTCTTTGGAAAGGATGGTATTCAACCTAAGATAATAAGAAGAAACTTTCTTCTTAAGTAAGAAGAAACCTTAGATAAATAAGAAGAGTACATTTAGAAGAATCGTTAATAATTTTTTCTTCATCTTCTTAAAAATACACGAAATGACTACTGCTCATGCGCATGCGTATAACGGACTGATCTGACCAGTTTGCCTCAGACCAGGCCTGGTGTCTACTTGGAGTGGGTGCCCAGAAGATCCTGCATGCAGAGCCTGGCAGGACGGGACCATGGTAGAAAGGACCCCAAGCTGCCAAGAACCAGGCAGGAGCGAAAAAGTCTCACAATACAAAGAGTTGTTGGAAGCAAAAGAAAACAAAGGTTATTGGAAAGTAAAGGGGGAAAAGAAGGATTTCAAAACAGCAGCCTGGCATTTAGCCAAGCTCAAACTTATTTAAAAAAAAATATTCCACAGAATACACTGTTAGAAACACCCCTTCCTCTGCACTTGGATGAAAGAGATGGCGTTTTCCTTTGTAAACCAGCACAGCAGCATGTGATGTAGCTTCAGCCCGGCGACCGTCACCACACGCGCGGGGAGCCAAGGCCCGCGCGCGCCTGAGGAAAACGCTCTGCGCAGCCATTACCTCAGCGCGGCGGCGCTGGAAATGCGCTCCTACCATAAAAGGGCCAAACGGCCTTTTCCTGTTTCTCATCTCTAGGACACGGTGTCTTCTGCGACAACAATAGCCGGGAACAATTGGCTGGCGCCCAGTCAACGCGCCGAGAAAAACCCGCGTCGCTAGAGCCTGGGCTGAGTCAGCCAAAGCTGCCAGGGCCCAAATTACTAGGTGGACTGGGGACCAAGGTTCAAGCAGCAGACACATCCATGCCTTCAACCTTTGATGTTTCTTGACCTCTGTGTGGCCCTTGTCTTTCGTGTTTCTGTTTGTAAGCCCAGGGTTTAGGTCATACGTTTATTAACTTTTCTTGCACCTGAGCCGGCTAGAAAATGTTGTGATTGTGCGTTATGCAAAGCAACGAGGAAGAGACAGCCCGAGAAGCGGCTCCTTCTAGGAGCCAGCGCAACCCAATGCAGGGCAGCCCCAGCACTGCCCTCCCCATCAGGCTACCCCACGACAGCAGCAGTATAACAACATCCAGCATAATACACAGCACAGCCTAGAAAACATGGACAGAGGGACTGATTCAGGGTCAAATGCTGAAAAATCTTGAGTATCTCACAACCTTCCACAAGGAGCTTCGAGGGCAGCTGGGTGCAATGGTCCAACGACCGGTCCCGGCCACCGCATCAGGCCTTGGTCTTTGCACCACGTTGCAGGTCCCTTTCCTGCATCTGGACTGCAGTCAGCTTCTCAACCAAAATGCACAATTTTCTAACCATCTTCCTTTAAAAAATTAAATTTTAAGTCCAGAAACAACTTTCCCTCTAGAGCAGCAGTAGGTGAGTTTATACTCAGAGCGTTTCCTGAGGCCTCAAAATTCTAAATACCTCTCTGCCCTGTGCAAGTTTACTTAATGGGGTATAAGGCTCAATGCTGTCACAGACAGTAATGTTACTTTAATCCATCTGAGCCTGATACACAGCAATTTGCACTTGCACAAAGGCAGAGAGGTACTGAGAAATACCCCTTTGTCAGGGAATCAGGGGATAAACAATTGATATGTGGATTCAGTATATGATTATATATACTTATACATATATTAAATGAAATGTACACATTAATTAGATTCTTAGAAAAACATAACTTTTCCCTAATAAGCAATGGCCATGAGGATCTTCAAAGAGGCTGCAGCTCCCTTGAGCACAGATCCAGACACTGCCAAGTCGGCTACAAACTCTGGGATCTACACAGGGAGCTGCCAGGCTTGGTGCTTCATTCTGCATGATGCTAGAACAAAACCCTTATTGTGGTTTTCTGTAGAGTGATTCAGTATTTTTTTAAAATAATAATTGGTTATCTTAAAAGCTGCTTACTTGCTCCTACTTGCCTTAACAAGACTATGTTCTTGAAAAGCCTCCTCTCTCCCACTTCGGTAACAAATGTGATGAAACTGTTCCAGCCAGGAACTCAAAGGGGAGGCAGCGCTTACTACCGCTCTGGAAAGTCTACCCAGTCTGATAAAGAACTGCTTTGCTCCTGTCTTCCCACTTCCTACAGCACAGAAAAATAATTTTCTGTTTTAACATAAGAACTGGCAGGACTGAGAGAACACCCTCAATTCTTCATGCAATTTTAGCAGGCCTAACGGGAAAGCGATTTTCCTTCATTTGTCTTTTTAATAATTAGTTTCTATACAACAATCGTCTGTAAATACTTAGTGCTGAGAAATAAAGCTCATTTAAAAAAAAAGTAGGCAGCTCAGTGCATCAATATAGCACAGATTTCTTGGCATTATACAATACTTTCGGGAAGGTTTTCTCTTTGATTACTTTTTTTATTTTTTGAGGGGCGTAGGGGAGGCAAGGAGGCCTGGTACTTGTAGTGATTTATTAAGGCACTGAAAGGCCATTCTCATTTAAGAGCCAGGAACCAGTTCCGCCAAACTCCAGGTCAGCTCTGGAGATGGGCATTTATGAAGAGGACACCCTGCTGAATTTTGGTTCCTTAACAGTCATCAGCCTGCCCATCTTAGTCACACTTCAATAGAGTATTTTGAATGACTGAACTTAGACAGTTTCTTTGGTTTTATATTTTAATCAATTTTGGGTTAATTTAACTAAAGGCTATTTGTGGGTTGTGTAAGCCGACCCACGTTCTCATGGTCTGGAATTCCATAACCTGCTTGTAGAGTGTTTGATTATTTATAATACATCAAAGATAACCTCCTTTTTGAAAACAACCCACATCAGTGTTTCAGCTTTCCTAGAAAAGGCTGTTACAACCACCAGAAATGGACACATCTCCATCAGCAGCCAGTTACAACACGGAAAGACAGAAAGACTGAACCTGAAATAACCACTATTTTTTCTGATTTTGTTTTCCTTTTCCTTCTTTTCCATATTTTACTGTTCTGTAATTTCCTATGTATAAAAAAAAGCTCCAATAAATAATGAAAAAATGGCAAGCACAGCACGAATCACACTGCTATGCAGACATGAACAGGAAAAAAAAAAAAAAAAAACATTTCTTTTTGGCTGTAGCATATGCAGAGCCCAGAGGTCTGGCAGCAATCAGATTTTGGGGTCTGACAACCACCTTCCAGGCAACCTTATGGGCATTTATGGCATGATACCCCAAACAACTATCAGAAACCCTCAGCACCCATAGCTGTAGGGAGAACAGATATGTCTGCCCTGGAGCTGTGGTAGCAACACAGGCATTTCCACCAGCAGCAGGTGACAGGAACTGGGCAGGAATTTCCCACACAGCTGAGGACAGACAACTGCCATGAGGGACCAGTTGTCCCTGCCCTGGAAACCTGCTGTTATCTGCCTAGAGCAGCAAAATCCCCGCCTGGGCTCTGGCAGTATCTTCCATGTGAGAAGGTCACTGAATTTAAGGGCATCTTGCTGAGGAAATCAGAGGGCAGCAAGGACACCAGCACCCACTTTGACAGATAACTAACCAAAATCAGTCACAGAGCAGGAGCCTGGGCAGCCCATGAGAAAGGAAGAGGGACGTATTTTTTTTTCAGTTCAGGCCTAAGTTGTTCCCAATTAGTGTATTTTAATTCAGTGAAATAAAAGGGAAGCAAATTAAGAATAAGGCTAGTGGAGTGTAGTCTTTCAGGTGCAGGTTAAGACTATTAAAAACAAACCCAAACTTTAACACTTTATATACATGTATCCACTCACCTGATTAACGTGTGGGATAATCACACAGTCTTCCTCTAGCTGCTCAAGATGACTCATAAGAAAGTTGCTTACACCAATTGATCTACATAAACCTAATGAGACAAACAAGAAAATGTTGTAGGACAATCCTCACTATTCGGAGGATAACATGAAAAATACCACTTTCCAGACACTAAATGCCTGCAAATCCAGCCATTTTCTACAGTAGAAACAAACAAACAAAAACCTTGAAATCCAGTTGGACGGCACTATCTGAAGGCATGGCTCCGTCACAGCCACGCTAGGAAACCATTTTATAATCTAAACACACTGGAAGCTCCCCAGTGTATAAAAACTCCAAGCTAAATTCTGGGAAAGGCTAATGTAGTGTAAGCAAAGAACAATTGCACTTCACTCGAATGAAAAGAAGGAAATGGTGTTCTGAACAGCTTGCCAAGGCTAAAGAAAAGTGGAACATTTGCAGAAGACTAATAAGGTGCGAGTAACCAACACAAGGACAGGCAGTCCAAATGAACTGCATAACCCTGCTTGTATTCCTGTTAGGTTGCTATGCGTTACACAGATGTTACAAAAAATAGCTAAAATGCAGAATTGAACACAAATCGAGAAACAAACTGTAGGAAGAAGAATCTACATTGCAATTGCTCATTTTTTTTGGCTCTTGTTGAAGCCAAACTGCATATAGATGACATTAGGGTTATTTTTAAGATCAACCTTAAGTGTATTTGCAGGCATGTCAATTAAGAGTTGATAGCCCTGAAATCAGATGCTTCCTTTGAAGCTCAGCTATGATAAAGCACAGTTCCCAACCCAACCTGCTGCTGTACCTCAACCCGATTGCTCCTCAGCGGTTTTGTTCTCATTCTAGGCTAAGACAGTTCATATGGAAACCAAGTGTGGTCAGGCCAGCAGTGGTCTCTCTGGTCTGTGGATTCTGTAGACTCTGAATCAGCCTCATTACTTTTGTCTCTGAACTTTTGTCTTCATTGATTCGATACAGATCTCAGTTAGCAACTCTCCAGATGGAAACTTGATTTCAGGTTGCACAAACATGGGAGCTCAATCACTGTGTTTACCTCAAAATTTCTCCGAGCCAATACTGAACAATGTATGTGCATGTCGTCTTCTATGCATATATATCTACAACAAAAATGTTATTAAATACATATCTAAAGGAAAAATTCACCCTCACCCAAAGCCAAATCAAGCCAAAATGCTGGTGGGAAATTTTTTATGCTGGTGTGCATTTTTAAAATGCACATATGTCTTATGCACAAAAGTAGTAATTCATATGAAGACTAAATTGCCATTTAAATAAAAAGAGCTATTGGATTCAGGTTCAATTGCAGGTTCAATTTAGCTGGACGAAATGAAGAAATGTAATTATTCTTGTGCTCTCAGTTTAAATTCCAGAAGTGAAGTTACACTTTGCTGCTAACTATAATAATCACATTGTTCAAACCCTGAAAAATAAGTTTTGTATTTGAAAAGCCACCAACCATATAAACATAGGAAACTACTACAACGCTGCTTTTACATACTGTGGTGGCGCAAGCAGTTAGGTCTGTAAAACCTGCATGCCTACTATCACTGTTTAATGTGGTTTCTTTTGTGGAATCCAAAGGCAAAAAAACACATCAGCGAGTAAAACACTAGAGAACTTTCACTTACAGATATGATCACTGCTCCAGATGTGCAACATAATCAGGTTATAACCTACATTACAGCAACTGCATAATTCCTATTTAATCTGTTAGAAGTGCAACATGAGCTGCTGACTTCTGCTGGCAGACACACCTGAGCATCAACACTAATAAATCCTTATGCCAGAGGCCTGAAAAGCATGGTCCGTTTTGCTACAACTGGAGACTGTCAGATTCATAAGTTGTGTTACATCTACTCTGAAAATCTGTACTTCGACTTCACCAATTCAGCAAGAGCTGAAGTTCAAGAACCCCCAAGTCAAACATTGTAAAATGTACCAGGTAAGATGCCTCCAAAAGCAGACTCTTAAAATACACATTTACATAGTCTTATTTACAGTCACAGAGCTTTGACTCAGGGAGAAAAAGTATCCTCCATATCCGCTTGAGGAAAAGTGGTTTAGCCCATATGAGGCAGATGTGGAGATAGTCCAGGTACAATGAGCAACAAGTCTGCAAGTCCCCCCTAGCTCCTCAGCCTTAGTGAAGCTTTGCCTGGCTCCTTCAGGCTCTGACTTCAGAGGCCAAAAGGAAAACTGGACTGTAAGAGAGACTGTCATGAAACTCTGCAAGAGAAATTTGAAAACATATTGGCCTTTAAAATAAAGGGTGATGATAATTGAAGAACTAACGTCCTTACTCCACACACAATCATCTTGGCCTCCAGCATACATGGGAGCAATTTGACTAGACTGCGTCAGTCCCATGTGCTGTGAAGCAACCCCTCAAGCTAACAGGCAAGAGAACTAGTGTGTTTTTTTTTTTTTCCTTCCTTTACTTAGTATAATACCAAGTTACACAGTTTAATGGACAAAGCTAGTCTTGCCACAATAAAGCATAAATATACTGCCTTGGCACCACGACATTGTCTTATTACAATAGCGAGCCTTATCTTTCCCAAGCACTACTACAGACTTTTATCAGACTTCTAAAAACTTTCTGAAATATTAACTGTATAGAGTTCAGATTTTTTTTTTTTTTTAAATGACATAAACCCCTGGATACTGGGTTTGTGGAGCCGATTTTCCTCCCCGTCGCTGTTGCTCAACATCAATTTGGGCACAGCAGAAGGCCCATGTCCGGCGAAGAGCGGGGATCTACTCAAGCCACAGAGTAGAAACGCAAGGGCTCCCTCTTCTCGAAAGAGACCAACTGCAGCACCTTCATTCAAAGGCATTACACAGGTGGGAAAGGTCCACGTTTTCTGTGATATGAGTATTAAAGCTTTGGTTTTCAATACTGTGTGCCTGAAGAGGATTGCGATTCCAGCATGGTTTGCTAAAACACTGTAGGCTGAGCGTGCAACATGCAGCTTGCAAGTCAAAGCCTTCCGAAAGACAGCAGGTGAGTCTTTATACACAACCACTTAATTTTTAAATCTATGAAATATGGCTTGTTCCCATTTTACAGACTGTAAAACAGACACCAAAAGGCTAAATCCTGTCTTCAAGGCTAAGCCCTGTCTTTTGACTAAGCCAAAATGCTTAGTCCTGTCTAAAGGCACCATAGGAAGACTGACAAAACTGACAACAGGATCCGAACACTAACCACTGAAATCACACTCTTCCCCCAAGGGATTTTTTTCTTATCCTACCTGCTACAGCAACAGAGGTGCAATATCAGCCTCAAAATGACTTTCCTGCTACTGCAATTCCATTACTCTGGCTCCTGTTACAGGTCACCTGTAAATCACAACAGTCCAAGGGTAAGAGGGATAGACAAACTTACCTTCCATGGCTGAAAATCCATTATAAAAAAATCAGTCAGCAGTTAGGCTGTTGTGTTAACTAACTAGTGCCAGACAGCAATACTAGCTTAACATGGTCTTCCCCATCTCTCTGACCCGGGCTGCTCATCCTCACTGTTTCAGAACAGCAGCATTTTGGTTATGCCAGCAAACTTCTTCCCCAAGCAGACAATCCCAATCACATCAGCTGTGTGTGCCACCAAAAAGGTCATGGGTGGTTATTTTCAAAGCTGAATCAATCCCCCTGTACTTCAGCAGACTTCCCCTTCTCTTGTGCCAGCCCTACACGTGTAGGGTCATGTTGTAAACAGAGCACAGCTTAAAAAAAAGGAACCTACAAGAAAGTTTTCATAACCAGGTCATTCTGCAGCCCCTGTTCAAAGCAACAACTCACAACTGGAAAGACACAAACTAAGAAGTAACATTTGCAGAAGAGAGATAAGTGACACCTTTTCCCCAAACTGGGTATATTATTGACCCAGACTTTTTTTTTTTTTTTTTTTAAGCAAGATTTTTGCCTTTGCAACAGACTTCTACAGTAGCTTCTTCTAAGAGCACTTGTGTCCACCCTGGAACCTCTGCATCATTAATCATTAAGTCTGAGGGCTTATTTTTGCCTTTAGAAATAAAGTTCATTACAAGGAAAAAAAAGATAAAATAAAAAATAAAGAGTGAAATGTAACGAATGAGGACAGTCAGTCCTACAAGTTTAGATTTGTTTCCAGTTTTACATCTGCACCAAATTGCAATTTCTTATTCTTCTGAATGTTTTAGTGTGTTTCACATAATGAAGGCTTCTTTCTGATTTTAAGCATGAAAAGTGGGTAGTCATTCTTTTTTCTGCGTGCGTCTTTTATGGCAGTCTTATCTGACAAACAGGGTGTGGTACAACAACATCCTCACCAACGCCAGCACCCTCAACCCAGGAAAACACTTTTTTCTTAATTGCGTCTCTGATAATAACAAGCCCATCAGACATCTTTATATATGCAGAGAGAATATACAGACACTAATGAGAAGATTACTGTTCCTTTGAAAAGAATTTCTTTGCTTTTACCACTGAACACTCGAGTGCAGCTTCCACAACACAACTTCTACCAACACGCTCATTCTTAAGCCAAGTCTTTTGTGGAAACATAACACTGGTGTTTGTGAAATGAGGAAATGTTGTCCATCATAAGCACAGGCAGAATAATTCCTGAGTAGGATACCATTTACAACAGAATGTGTCATCTAGGAAAGGACGTACTAGCATTGTGTCACCCCCATATACACATCAAAAAACGGTATTTGGCTTACTCAGCCTCGCTCCTTTGGGAATTGACAGATAAAGCAGGAAGGAAAGCTGATGACTGCACTGGTCTACGCCCAAAGATGAAAAACAAGGATAATAATAAAGTTGACGGACATTCAAGGAAATTCTCAAATATATTAACATATTAAGGAATTTTTGGTGCAAGCATAAGCACCTCACACAAGTGTAAGCTGCACTGCTTACACTCAGGGAAGACAGCAAGAAGTTCT